ACAGTAACACAGATTCTAGACATGAGTTTACTCAGCTTAGCCAAGTAGTTTATTACTGGATGGCACAAACATGAAAATAATTTTCTAAAGATAATTAAAACATCTAGAAAGATGCGGTTCTTAGAACCAATAAGCCACAGGAACATGGAAATTTGACAAAGAAGTTGCCGATACAATGTTTAAATCCCAAACTACCAATTTCATTCACTGCATGTATCAACACTTACTTCACCTGCTTAAAATACACTTCAAAAAAGGGTTAGAACACCTGGCTCCAGCCTGGGTGACAAAGACCCTGTCTCAAAAAAAGGAGAGGAATGGTTTAGAACACATCACTATTACACTATTACACTATTATCACTTTTACACACTATTTAGAAATTACTCAACTAATAGCTTGGTTTTTGTTGTAAAATATTATATTACTAGTATGACTGCTATGCAGTTCAGTGGAAGGAGAAACACGTGCCATAGCCATGGCCACCTCTGCTTCTGAGGTTCTTCAGCCATGAGTAACCTCAGCATGGACTTACGTCCAGCCAAACCAAGTCTGGCTTCTGTGTGGCTCAGATCTTGTTTTCCTTACTAGATGATCGAGAGCTAATCTGTATCCAGAGGGAGGTCTGTCTATTTTAGAACCAGAAGAGGGCACAACCTGCTCTAAGCAATACTGGACTGGTGGTAGGGGTTTGGAAGATCAATGCAAAAGGGCTAAACAAAGATGAAGACAGTTAACACTAAGGATCCACTCGGACTCACCAGAAAATTCTGAAAAACACATATTTTTCCCCTGCTAATAACTTACATAACCTCCCTGTTCAAATACAGAAATTAACACCTGATGATCACTTTACAGATCTCATTAGACATATCAAAATGAAAAACTGCCAGAGCTCAATTTTATCCAAGGTTAGACGGTGCACACAGTCTCTGTTTTAGGTGTACATGAAAAGGGCCTAATTATTCAGGTGTTTTAAAAACACATTTTAGCAAACACCGCAGTATGGGGATTTGTTTGCTCGTTTAAACAATAATTGTTCTTAAAACTTTGGTAACAAAGCTATGAATAAGCACTTTCCTTTAATGTCTGAAAAGATAACCCTGTTTGGTGAAACTAGCTAGTTAAATAGACCACAATCTTACCTCTTCTAAAATGTTATCTGCTAAGTTTTTGTAACTGCAATTATCTTAACACCTTCATGAGATACTTTACAAGCAACACCTATTGTACTTTATTTTCAAGAAACAGTGTGACTGTAATCTAGGGTTATTAGCTCAATAATACAATTTTAATACAGGTTGGAATATCTCATCATAAAAATTAAATTACTTCTTTTACATTAAAAATATGCTTTAAGGCACAGTTTGCAATGAAGACTTTCATAGGTATAATTATCATTTAAGATACAGCACATTTTTTTTTTAGACAGGGTCTCGCTCTGTCGCCAGGTGCCAGGCTGGAGTGCAGTGGCACGATCTCGGCTCACTGCAACCTCCGCCTCCTGGGTTCAAGCAATTCTCCTGCCTCAGCCTCCCGAGTAGCTGGGACTACAGGCGCAAGCCACCATGCCCAGCTAATTTTTTTTGTATTTTTAGTAGAGACAGGATTTCACCATGTTGGCCAGAATCGTCTCGATATCTTGACCTTGTGATCCGCCCGCCTCGGCCTCCCAAAGTGCTGGGATTACAGGCTTAAGCCACCGCGCCCAGCCCAATACAGTAGGATTTTTATGAGAAATTTTCTTTTGGGCAGTTCAAATGTATATAAATACTTACAACTGCAACTTAAAATATTCTTATATGAGCACTAAAATATCAATTCAGAGTTCTGAAACAATATAACTACTATCTTTTTCATGAACACTATCTGTCCAAGGCTGAAACACTTATGTTTGTACATAAAGGATACTTGATATTGCTCAGCACCCCCCACGCTCCCCCCGCCCCCTGAAACCTCAACAGCAAAAGTTATTTCTACTGGGAACGGAAGAGCTGAATCTGAAAGACTGGATATTGTTAACATAAGAAAAATGCAAAGGTGTAACAGCTCGGGGGGAAAAATCAATCAAAAAGCAAAAAAATGGAAACCATTGAAAAATAAGGGAAGTAAAATTGAAAAGGAGGTGCAAAGCAGGGTACAGAGAGAAGACAAACGGCGAAGGAATTCAACAGCAACAAAGGTACTGATTCTGTAAACCAGGAATCCAAGCAAGAATCTAGGAGAGGATTAGTTTTCACACAGCAAAATTTGTATTTTGCAAAACTGTTAAAATCTGAAAACATTTAAATTTCCTTTTTTTTTTTTTTGAGATGGACTCTCGCTCTGTCACCCAGGCTGGAGTGCAGTGGTGTCATCTCAGCTCACTGCAGCCTCTGCCTCCTGGGTTCAAGCCATTCTCCAGCGTCAGCCTTCTGAGTAGCTGGGACTACAGGTGTGAGCCACCACACCCGGCTAATTTCTGTAATTTTAGTAGAGACAGGGTTTCACCATGTTGGACAGACTGGTATCAAACACCTGACCTCAGGTGATCCACCTGCCTCAGCCTCCCAAAGTGCTGGGATTACTGGCATGAGCCACCATGCCCAGCATAAATTTCTATTTGTATTTTAAACCAGGTACTTAAAAAAAAACACAAAAACAAAAACTCAAAACAAGAATCTAATCTACATTTAAGAGTTTATAACATTAAAAGACAGGTACAGACACAAAGACTGGCGAATACGAGGTGAATCCTGAGACTCTTACTTTCCCTTGTGCTGGAATTTCACCTGCACCACACTTAGAGACCAGTTTAGCAACCTCCAGTAGGCCGGGTGTAGTGGCCCATGCCTGTAATCTCAGCACTTTGGAGACCGAGGCGGGCAGATCATCTGAGGTCAGGAGTTCAAGGCTAGCATGATCAACATGAAAAAACCCTGTCTCTACTAAAAAAATATATAAAATTAGCCAGGTGTGATGGTGTATGCCTATAATCCCAGCTACTCAGGAGGCTGAGGCAGGAGAATCGTTTGAACCTGGGAGGCGGAGGCTGTGGTGAGCCGATCATGCCATTGTACTCCAGCCTGGGTAACAAGAGTGAAACTCTGTCTCAAAAGCAAAAAAACAATCCCCTATAAAACATGCCACAGCATAGCCACTGTGTCAAGTAATGGGCAGCTGAGGAACCCCTGGAAAGTCTGGCTGACAACATCTTTCCTATGCTGAATGCAAATCAACATTTGCTTAAGTAATAGATTTCTTGGATTTTGTTGAGCTTCAGCCAAAATAGTTGCTCCGTATAATCAACATCACAGATGAACCAGGCTGAGGGCATGTGTTGATTAATAATGGCTAAAATTTAGGGAGTTCTTCCTATATGACACTCCTATTTCAAATGCTTTACATGTATTATTTCATTTTGTCTTCACAACAATGCTGTAAAGAAGTACCAATTCTTTTCTTTATTTCACATGAGGAAACAGAGCAGTCAATTTTCAGCTGGGATCCAACTGGAGGTCTGTCTCCCTTCAGAATGCTGCTCTTCCTCATTGTGAAAGTTACTATGCAGAAAGTAAAAATTCTGGAAATGTAAACAAACATCTTAAAATCCCACTATGATGTAGGAGATGACAGTGTTCTTAAAGCCCTAAGTAAAACATTTCGTGGCTTAAAGCACACATGCACATGCATGAGTGTACACACACACAGAAAATGGCTTGTACACACCTTAACCACGTAAATGTATAAAAACCATTGTGATAAAAAGTTATGCAAGCCAGCCGGGCATGGTGGCTCACACCTGTAACCCCAGCACTCTAGGATGCCAAGGCGGGTGGATCACCTGAGGTCAGGAGTTCAAGACCAGCCTGGCTGACATGAAGAAACCCTGTCTCTACAAAGGGCGTGGTGGCTGGTGCCTGTAATCCCAGCTACTTGGGAGGCTGAGGCAAGAGAACTGCTTGAATCCAGGAGGCAGAGATTGCAGTGAGCTGAAATGGTGCCACTGTACTCCAGCATGGGCAACAAGAGTAAAACTCTGTCTCAAAAAAAAAAAGTTATGTAAGCCACTTAAAATGTCTTCAAATGTCTATTTTCTTTTTTAATCTGAAACACAGGGTTTATATCAGCAAGTGTCTGGAAAGTGAAGAATAACTAAGTAGGACTACTCTTGTCCCCTAAAGGAGATTAGAATATGCTCCAAATCTATAACCACCAAATTATTTTTCATTAACGATAAAATTGATAATTAGGAATGCTAAGATACAAATGAAAAACTACGCTGTATATAAATAACTTTTTGCTTCTGTATCATTTCCTTGCCAAAAAAAGAAACAAAACAGGAACACACAGTTGTTGGATGGCTTTCACTCTACTGAACTGGTTTCATCCCATGAGTCTACCTCGAGTCAGGACTCACACACTACCTCTGCCACCAATTTGCTGTCTTAATTTATGCAAATCTCTTCACTTTTCAGCACCCTCACCTATCAAATAATATCTGCTCTTCCAATTTCATTCAGTTAAAATCAATGTGTGGTGACAACAATGATGCTTTGTCTATATAGGGAATTACCATTAATCGGCTACTCTGGTGGGGTGTGCTATTTAATTAGGTGAGTTGGGAAAGAGGGATGTGTAGTGATACTGTTAACTTTTTCAAACTGCGATTATATCAACCGCATCCTTTGAGCCTCATAACCACCTTGGAAATAAGTGGGACAACTATTAACAGATAAAGAAGTATAGGGTGGTTATGTGGGTAGCCTCATGTCATACAGTAAGTTAAGGACTGAGCCTAGAAATCCATTTTTCCCAAAATCCGCTCCACGGTTTTGCTTTGTTTTTTAACTCTGCTAACTCAATGGTGCAGCCCATTGGTTAGGAAGGAGGAAGTAGGGACTATTGGGGGCCTTCATTCTGAATAAATCCAACAAAGGTACAAACGTCCTGAGTTGATGAATTAGGAAGTCAACTCTCTTTGCCGACCTGAAGCTTAGATTCATGAAATGAAACCACATACCTTGATCTCTGGCAGCTGCATAACTTCGGGAAAGACCTCGATGCAGTTGGAGTGAGCAATCACAGTGTGCATGCGCCTGCAATTCATGATGGTTGTTGGGATGGCTTTTAGCTTATTCCCGCTGAGATCGATTTCTTCCAGTTCCTCCAGTTTTGCCATTTTACTAAAAAAAAAAAAAAAAAAGAAAAATCCATCAAGGAGGGAGTTACAAAATAATTATAAATCCATGTAAAAAGAAAATAATATATGATGAGAATCAAAGAATGAATTAAATTGCTATGACTTCAAAGTTTCATTTGTAACAGTAATTTTTACAAACAAGACCATTTTTTCACTATCATCATTTTGGAGTACTGAAATATTTTAACACCTCTTTCCCATTACAGAACAAAATTATTAACTTCAACTCTTCAAATTGTCAACAAGAAGGAAAATGGATCACCTTTTCCTCCTTAAAGTCTGTGTGGCAATTAAGTTGCCCTGGCAATAATCACATCACTGTAGAGCTTGGTCTGAATGCTAATTAAAACACTATTTAAATGAGTCAAAAGCCAGCAATATAACTGCCTTAAAAGGGCTTAGGGAGTATAATTTCTTTGTAGTGGCACTGAAAACTCAAACGGGAGGTAGAGAACAGGTCTATAGTTCATATTAAAATACTGTAAGCTTTTTCCCCAAACCCCACCCCCCTAATTCCTCTGACATCACTGATGAATACAAAGTAGTGGTAAGGAGCAAGGGGTGCGTTAAAAGCCCATTTGGATCACCTCTTGCACTTCTGGCAGAGCCCAAATTCACACCAGGGACAAAACACATTTCTCTCAATTCTTACTAAACATCTACAAAGAAGGAATCTCTCCAACCATACCTTAATAATATGTTCTAATGCAATTAATTTAATATTTCCATTTAAGAATGTCTTTTTTCAATCCTAATTTATAATCTTCATCAATAATTACAATAACCAACTAAAGAAAAATTCCACAACAAGGTTTCTTGCATTCTTTATAAATTTGAAAGAAAAAACGCCTCCACCTCTGCAATCACTGTACTAGTATCTGCCACTCTGTGACCCTTTTTCCACTTCTGCTGATGCTAGACTCCAAGCACAGAATTCTCTATTAGTGTGACTCAGACTCGTAAACTGAATAATTTAGTTTACAGTTATTGGTAACACTTCTACCTGTTATAGTGTCATTTGTCACAATATACCTTTAAACAATTTAACAAAAAACACTGTATTATTTTTCTGTCAGTTTTCAAATATAAAGATTATCTTACTTATCTTGAAAATAAATATATGCCTAAGATACAATAAGAACTAAGTTTTTATTTTATGAAGCCAGACCCTTTAATACCATAAGCATCCAGTGTATCAGAATATACTACAAACAATATATACACAGACTATAAAGTAATCCATCTATGAGAGCCTGAATTTCTAAGAATATTATTTAAATATGTTGTCATCATAATTTGAAAGAAATATGGTGATATGGTTTGGAATATTTGTCCCCTCCAAATGTCATGTTGAAATGTGATTCCGAATGTTAGAGGCAGGGCCCAGTGGGAGGTGTTTGGGCCATGGGGGCAGATACCTCATGAATAGCTTGATGCTCTTCCCATGATAATATGTGAATTCACACACAGTGCATTCATGAAAGAGCCTGGCATCTCTTTTGCCCCCTTTCTCACCATGTGACACAATGGCTCCCCTTCACCTTCTACCATGATTGTAAGCTTCCTGAAAACTCACCAGAAGCAGATGCCAGCACTATGCCTTGAAACTAATGGATAATGGCGCATGAACGATGATTAAAAGTACAGAAAGCAGGCACCCAAAAGAAAAAGTTAGAGAAATTTCCAACTCTCAACATAAAAAGAAGGTGGCAAAAGATGTGAAGACAAAATGACTAGATGGTGGCCACATTCTTTAATTCAGCAGCCATGACCCTGTGTGAGATATAAGGCTGAGAAAGACAGCTAGGTCACAAACCCAGCTCTGAAGGTGCTCTGGTTTGTAGGGGAGCTACTGAGCCACATCACAATCCACAGGGAGACAGAATTCATTACTAGATGGATTTTTACAAGGTGTTTTAAAAGTTTCTCTGCACTTATAGTGGGTGATTACACTTGGCATGGGTCACTGGGGGTATGTCCTCAGAATCGGAGCTGATGATCCTTTCCTCTGCAGGGATTAGACATTCACCATCTGAAAGATGACAATGAACCCTTTCAGATAGGTTACTGTTAATGTGATTATCATGGTTTTTCCAAAAAATATCATTTCCCCATTCCATAGTAAAGTAAAAGTACACGGAAGTAAGTATAAAATAGTTTAATCATTAATCTCAAATGAGAAAGAAAGTAAACATTAAGCCACAAACAGAGAAATACTTTAAGTCAACACATACATGAGCCTTCCTCCTTCCGCAAGGGCTTCAACAGACTGGTAGCCCTGAAGGCAGCAGAGGGAGGCTGTGAGAGTATTTTGATTTGGCCCCAATGCTGAGTTGCAGTTACCAAGCAGATTACCAGAGGGGTTAGTGTTTGCTTCTTTGATGCGTGCGTGTATGTTCCAAGTCCTAACTTGTTAGATGGATAAATGCCAATGAAGTGGAAACAGAGTAAATCCTCACAGCAGGCTCAGCGCATAGATTCACTCAAAGTTAGATATAATGTCACTGCTCCCTGAAAATTAGAAGTTAAAGTAAAAACAAGTTAAAAATGGACTCTTCTGAGAGCCATCATTTGTAATGGTACAGTTTCTATGGTAGTGAAGTCTACCACTGCTTTGTAACATCGTGAGTATAAACATAAAAGTTGGTAGATAATGAAGGATTTTCAGGTTCCTGGTTTACATTCCAATTCCCACATACCTGATTAGGTTGATGTTTTTGGAAACTTTATTATTTATTTTATCTTTTAATATTAGGGTCTCACCATGTTGCCCAGGCTGGTCTTGAATCCTTGAGCTCAAGTTACCCTCCTACCTTAGCCTCCCGAGTAGCTGGGAGTACAGGCACGCACCACCACACCAGGTTCTAGGATAATGGCTTTTCAAAAAATTAATCTGACTGGTTGAAAGAAGCAAAAGAAAAAACATACCTGCTAAACAACACATTTTATTTCAAAATCTTAAGAACATTCTTGTGATTAGGTCTTTGGACAATATGAGGAAAACCAATCTACTTCTCTTTAGGGAAATGTCATCACGGCTTATATAAAGGAAACTGTGAATGGAGGACGAACAAGCAAATAAACCTGACATCGCCTGGGAAATAAATACTTCAGCTTTCACCTTTCTATGAATACATTTTGAGAAACACAATTCACAACACAGCTTTACGACTCTCCTTTACCTTGCTGGAAAACTCTGAAGTCGGTTGTAGGCCATGTGAAGAATCTTCAAATGGGGGTGTCCCGTTAACAAGGGCACACATTTGTCTGTGAGGCTGTTATTTGTCAAATACAACTCTTGTAAGATACTGTTTGTCTCTTCAGAAAGTGTGGCTGGAGGAAGGCTTTCCAGTTTGTTTGCAGATGCGTTCAGGAATCTTAGGCTACAATGACAAAATGCAACAAAACACCATTGAAAAGCCACAAAAACCCTCAATAAGCCTCAAAGCTTTCATACCAGGCACATTAGAAGCTGGGACTAAAAACATGAATTGAAAAGACAAGCAAGTATTTGTATCTGTCATCCACTAACTACGATGAACACAATAGCTATCTATATGTATTAAATAGAGACACAATTTTTGTGGAAGCACAAAGGTAGGTAAGAGGAAGCAATTATTTATTTTATTTTTGAGTTGGAGTTTCACTCTTGTTGCCCAGGCTGGACTGCAATGGTGCCATCTCAGCTCACTGTAACCTCCACCTCCTATGTTCAAGCAATTCTCTTGCCTCAGCCTCCCAAGAGGCTGGGATTACAGGCGTCCACCATCATGCCTGGCTAATTTTTATACTGTTAGTTGACCCTCCCAAGAGGCTGGGATTACAGGCATCCACCATCATGTCTGGCTAATTTTTATACTGTTAGTTGAGATGGGGTTTCACCATGTTGGCCAGGCTGGTCTTGAACTCTTGACCTCAAGTGTTCCATCTCCCTCGGCTTCGTGAAGTGCTGGTTTTACAGGTGTGAGCCATCGCACCCAGCCAATCAATTTTATAGTTGGCAGGGAGTGGAAGAGAAAGTGATACAGTAAAGTTAACATTCTGACTTAAGGAAGGAAAAACAATTTCCTATTTTGTAATAAAAGGTGCTTGCTGAGGCAGGAAGATTGGTTGAAGCCAGGGGTTTGTGACCAGCCTGGCAACAAAGCAAAACCCTGGCTCTATAAAAATTAGGTGAATAAATAAATAATAAATAAATGGTTCTTATAGTAATAAAACACATATTAGATCACAATGCAACTAAATCACATAGTGACTGAATCCTTTTCAGTATAATGTTCAAACCACATATTATTGACTTTCATAAGTGCAGGAGATAATTTGTTCTGTATTAAAACAACAGAATATGACGTAGCAATTAGAATAAAGAACTAAAACAACATATATCAACAGGATGAATCTCACAAACACATAGTGACCTAAAGAAGCCAGATACAAGAGGAGAACCACTGCATGAACCCATAACTACACAGAGTTCAAAGTCAGGCAAAATTACTCTGTGGTAACAGAAGTCAGGACAGCAGTAACTGTTAGGTGGGGAGGGAAAGGGAGGCAGTATCCAGGAGACGGTGTGTAATGTTTCGAATATGGTAATGTTCTGTTTCTTAGTCTGGGTGCTGGCTACACAAGTGTGTTCACTCTGAGACAATACATCAAGTGCACTTATGATGTGGCCACTTTTTTGTATTTATATTGTACTTGAATAAATTTTACATGAAAACAAACAAGATAATATATATGCTGCCACAGTTTCCAGATGCTAGAATGAAAAGTGAATAACATATGAAGAATGGTTTTATACCTAAGATAACTAAAACTGTCAAAAACAATAGATCTTCCACAGGGATTGTGAAATGCAGATAAATGCACAATGCAAAGCTGAGGAACGCCAACAAATCCTTGCTGTGATCAGGTTCCAACTCACTCCAAAGAGACGGACTGCGTCACACTCAGGAGTCAGAGATGACCCTCCTGATTCATGATGAATGTCCACCTGCAACTGCAGCTGCAGCAGGTGGGAAAGAGAGAGTGCTCAGTACATAGGGTTCACCTACAAGAGTTAGAAGGGTCAAATCTCTCATGCCTCCCCCAACCCCCAGATCAACCCTGTTGATGAGCCATACTATTCCTTCATTTCAATCACTTTGGTTTGAAACTTTCATCATTCAATTCAGGACTATTCTGCCATGTTTTTTTTTTTTTTTTTTTTTTTTGAGGCGGAGTTTCGCTCTTGTTACCCAGGCTGGAGTGCAATGGCGCGATCTCGGCTCACCGCAACCTCCGCCTCCTGGGTTCAGGCAATTCTCCTGCCTCAGCCTCCTGAGTAGCTGGGATTACAGGCACGTGCCACCATGCCCAGCTAATTTTTTGTATTTTTAGTAGAGACGGGGTTTCACCATGTTGACCAGGATGGTCTCGATCTCTTGACCTCGTGATCCACCCGCCTCGGCCTCCCAAAGTGCTGGGATTACAGGCTTGAGCCACCGCGCCCGGCCCTGCCATGTTTTTTTTTTTTTTTTTAAAAAAAAAAAAGAATAAAATCATCCTTAAAAAGAATACAGAATACCAGGTACAGTTATTTTTAATTTTGGATAGGAAAAAAGAAAAAGTCTATCAGGAGCCCTCACCAGGACTGTCACTCCAAGCTCTCAATCCACTGATTTAAAACTCTTCAATCTTGTACAATCCCTTCAACACACACACATTACTTATCTGAGGAAAAGCAGCTTCCCCAAAATAGAACATTTTCCATTAAAGAAACACGTATTCCGTTGACATTTTAAAAAAAAAAAAAAGGAAGTTAGAGAAGGGCTGTCCAGACCATAAATAGTCATGGGAAATTACAGTCATGTGTGCTACAGAGAAGAAAATAAAGGTCGCTGCTGCAGTTTCTGAAATGGTTTTGAACTAGGAAGGACACCAGTTTCAGCACCACAGTTGTTTACCATAGCTGTTTAGAGTAATTTTATGAGTCTTTCTTTGGGTCCCATTTAGACCACCTAATTTCTTGTTAAGAACTTCTTCAGTGTAGCATTAGAATAAGTTAAAATGTAAGAAATACATTTTATTGCCCTAAGATATCATGGACTAGTGTTGGCTGGGACACCATATAAAATAATTTCATTAAAATAGAATTCTTGGCCAGTTAGGACTTTGGGAGGTCAAGGCAGGTGAATTACCTGAGGTCAGGAGTTCCAGACCAGCCTGGCCAACATGGTGAAGCCCCTCTCTATTAAAAATGCAAATATTAGCTGGGCATGGCGGCAGGTGCCTATAATCCCAGCTATTTGGGAGGGTGAGGCAGGAGAATTGCTTAAACCCAGGAGGCAGAGGTTGCAGTGAGCCAAGATTGTGCCATTGCACTCCAGCCTGGATGACAAGAGCAAAACTCCACCTCAAAAAAAAAAAATAGAATTCTCTAGGATACATGTAGTCAAACACACACACACACACACACACACACACACACACACACACACACACGAGATAAAAGAGAGTGAATTAATCAATATTTGCATATTTTTTAGGCCAGAAAAGAGGGAATGTTTTAAAAACAGACAAGTGAATGCTCATCTAGAAAGCTGCCAAGCGACTTTAAAAACCCCTCTTATCATCTGAATAAAGGGATGAAAGTGATTTCCACACACATTTATCCTCTTATCTTTTTGAAATTTGCCTGTAATTAAGGAACTATATACCTTTTATGCAAAATTAAGGAGGAAAAATGCCAGCACCATCCCCCTTCAAGAAATGAAACTAGTTAGTTGAAACTATATGAGGTAGTTCCAAAGGACACCATCCGAACGGCATAGAGTCTGACTTAATCACTTTGTTGGTTAATGGTCAAAAAGCAAACACTTAAACTAAAAATGTTTTTTATTGTCATAGTCTCAGGAACATTAAATTCCATACCTATTCACTTGAGCCATTCTTCCTACAACTCACAATGTTTCAGCAGGAGACAACTTAAATTGGTTTAACAGTCTACATGTCCTCCTTCCACCGGAATGAATGAATACTTTAGTTTTGCAAAATTTCTCCACAACAGATAGCAACGTTAGTAAATAAATAGGCTCCAGAGCCCCACTCTCTGCTTTCAACCTTGCAAAAAAGCTGAATTCTTAAAGCGCTGAGTCAGGTCTCAACTCACTATGATGTGATAACTATCCTCAAGCTTCTTCCTTACAGAATTATGTAATAACTACACTATAAAAAGATGGTTTCATGCACCAAGAGATGTTTCCTGCTTCATCCATATAAGCTTTTTCACTACACAATCCTCTTCTAATTAGAGAAAGAGCAGTAACATATCACTGTTTTCTTTTCTTTTGTAAGGTACTTTGTAGATACCACAGATTTTTTTTTTTTTTTTTGAGACAGAGTCTCGCTCTGTCACCCAGGCTGGAGTGCAGCGGTGTGATCCTGACTCACTGCAAACTCTGCCTCTCAGGTTCAAGTAATTCTCCCACCTCAGCATCCCGAGTGGCTGAGATTACAGGCATACACCACCATGCCCAGCTAATTTTTGTATTTTTAGTAGAGACAGGGTTTTACCATGTTGGCCAGGCTTGTCTTGAACTCCTGACCTCAAGTGATCCACCTGCCTTGGCCTCCCAAAGTGCTGGGATTACAGGTGTGATACACTGCACCCAGCCGTTATTTTCTATCTCATTTGATTTTTCCATCATCCCAGAAGTATACCCTTCCATATTTCACAAAAGACAGAAATCAAAGCTGTGAAAATCAAAATTATTTGGCAATGGTTCAATAGTAACTAGTGGTAGAGACGGAAATAAAACGTGGATTTCATCAAACTCAAGTCCACAGTTTTCTATCACGTGTCTCCAAAATTCAAATGTTGAAAAATATTTATAAAAACATTTTTGTGGGGACATTCTCCTCCAGGAGCTGGAGGATCAAGTAGGGCACCTGCATGTAATGTGAAGACCGTGTGTGCAGAGCATTTCAAATTCAATTCTTAAAACAAGTTAGTAAATTGCATAGTACTCAAGAACTTTTCTGAGCATAAAGTTCAAAAGTCACAGAGAAAAGATACACAGACATGGCTCCTGCCCTGCAGTGTCTGGAAAGTCACCTGCAACAGCAGTGAGACAAATCCATTTCCTGTTTCTTGAGCAATTGCTCTGTTCTCCTTGGCACATTCTGTCCATTTGACTCAACTATATATTTTGTTTTGTTTGTTTGCTTTTTAGTAATTTCCAGCACATCCTTAAATTTAACAGCCAAGTTCTGTCCTTGAAACAGGGCACATAGGATTTGGTACCATAACAGATTTATTTATTCGTAGGCATACCAGGCATTCTTTTAATAATTTTTCTGGAAATCTGTACTGGGACTTATATATAACATTGAAAATCCATAT